TCCTTAAGTACTGCAGAGGCAGAATACATAGTTGCTGGTAGATGTTGTACTCAGTTAGTATGGATGAAACAGATGTTTTTAGATTATGGTCTTACTCAAGGAATTATGACACTCTACTGTGATAATGTCAGTGCAATCAATATCTCAAAGAATCCAGTTCAACACTCCAGAACGAAGCATATTGATATAAGACATCACTACATCAGAGACTTTGTAGAATCAAAGGAGATTGAGTTGGAGTACATTCAAATAGATAAGCAATTGGCTGACATTCTGACTAAGCCCCTAGATGCAAATCGGTTTGAGATTCTCAGATCTGCTCTGGGAATCTGCAGGATTGACTAATAAGGCAGTTAGGGGTGTCAATACGGGCCGGCCCGCCTTATTAGGCCCGCCCCACTGCGGGCTTTTTATTTGGCGGGCTTTGGCAGGCCGGCCCGCGAAGCCCGCGGGCTTGGAACTATACAACCCAAGCCCGCCCCATGCGGGCTTGCGGGTATCGCGGGCTGGCCCGCGGGCCATCACTTAATTTTTTTAAAAAAAAATATTAAATAGTATATAAACATGTTAAAACCGCTTGAAATATGGCACCAGAAACTTCCATAAAATCCATAAACCTCGCCCAAATCTCCAGGATCGATACCGCGCGTTCAGCAGAACTGTAGAAGGGTGATCAAAGCTAGGGTTCAACAGCGCACTCGATTTCTCTCTCGGCTTCAGATTTTCCCTCTACAATTCTCGTGTGTGTATAATTCATATATAAATATGTATGTTTGCTAGACTTGGAGGCGATTTAGTAATTCATAAATATGTATGAATTGATGATTTAGTTTTAGTAATTATTTGATTAAGTTGGAAGCGGATAGAGACGGGAGAACCGAAGAACTACGTACTCTAGGAATTATTGAATTAAGAATTGGCGAAGGATTATTGAATTATTGAATTTCTCCCCTTCTGCGTACTCTTAGATAGTTAGATCTACACATTGCCTAAGAATTAAGATATTATATATATGATTTTAAAAAAAAAAAAGATATTATATATATAATTTATTTATTTATTTTTTAAATATGGCCTGGCCCGCGGGCTGGCCCGCAACCCGTGCGGGTTTACCCGCGCGGGCTCTGGCCCTCCAAACGGACCATGCCCATTAGGCCCGCATTTTCGCGAGCCTAATTTCTTGTGGCCCTAACCCGCCCCATTGCGGGGCGGGTGCGGGCTAACTCGCGGGCTTCGACCCACTTTGACACCCCTAAAGGCAGTTAGTCGTTCAGAAGGAGAGTGCATGGTTTACTTATACGGGTCAAATCTCAGTTTTGACTTCCTTTTAAAACTCCCTTCTATTTTGTTAAGAGAATATCTTAACCTAAATTACCATAGAGTAATTAATCTTTTTCAAATTTCAAATCTTCCCTCATCCGTTTCTTGCCTAAAAAGAAGGCATATCGTTGCGTCAATCACATCGCCTCTGCATGAAATCTGACAAACAGCATTAATTAGGGTTCTTCACCCTTGGAACTATTTGTTATCGGGGCACATTTGAACAGAAGAAGAACTCAAAAATATCTCTACTCTCGGATTGTTTTTTCTCTCTGCTCCTCTGCCTAGGGTTGTTTCTTTCACACTCTCCGAAGTATTCATTCTAATGGCGGACGCTATACGAAACATCATCATCAAGCTTGGGAGGAAGACTCACTCTCCAGAAGTAGCTACCAAGCATGTCAAATCTCTGCTGCAGTTAGCAATGAAGAAGAAGTTGAAACTTGATCCCCTTCTTTGCGATGAAATTATGGTCACAGTGATGTCGGATTATCCCGTGTTCTACGCCGACTGGTCTGAAGATGATACCAGTGAGCTCTTGTTGCTGGCCTCCGAAGCTAGTGATGAGATTTTCCCAACATCCATCCCAGAGCCTTCAGATGGAAATCGGGCCGGGGCGTTTCTCCAATACTTTGCACAAAGGGCTCTTGAGTCAGAAGAGGTCTCACGATGACGAGCAGCTGCACAACCCTGATATCTTCAGGCTGCCAAAAATGAAGCCAGACACCGGCTTGAGATTCTCCGTAATAGGTCAAATTCTTCTGATTCCCCTATTGAAATTTCTCTTGATAAGCCTGATGATTTTGTATCTGCTGCTATTCCAACTGTTGTGCCTACTGTGTCTGATAATGTGGATGCGTTAATATCTGTGAAATCTGTGTCTGATGGTCTCCCTTGTATCCCCTCTGAGAAGTCTGATCCTTTGAAAGGTGTGGTTGTTGATGTGTCTGAGGAGAAAGATAAACCTTTTGAAGAGACCAACAATCTAAGTTTGGTTGTTTACTCGGCTGATAATGTTGCTCTGCCTCCTTCTGCGATTGCTGATGTCCTACATGAAATCTGTCCCTCTGATAATCTCTCTGGTTTGCCTGCTGAAGTTGAGACTGTTAAACTCTCAAGCACTCATGCATCTGAAAGAATAGATGGAGTCCCAGTCTACACCTCCACATCTTTGGCTGAAAGTCTGGAACATGTCCGGCACTTTGCTGGTTTACCTGCTACCTCCATTCCAGAACCATACCGTGTGATTGATCCTTCTGAGTCCTCAAGTGAAGATGAAAAGATCCTTGCTGAAGTCTATGGCACTCAAGCTCATGCATCTAAGCCCCCGACTGTTGAGGCTACTGCACATCTCGATTCCACCACCTTCAAAATTAGAGAAGTAACAAATCTTCTTGGAAGTTCTTCTACCCATGTTCTTGATTCCAGTCACTCTGTGTCTCCTGTTCATTCCCCATCCAAGGAGACGAGAAGATCAAAACGAAAGAATGTTCCTGTGAAGGTTGTTGTTGAGACGAGTGATGACAATGCTGATGTAGATCAGCCTGAGAAGAGAAGAAAATCCAGTGAGTATGTCGAGCCTGGAGCTAATCCTCCAATTCAACAAGTGTTCAAAACACTACGATCGTCTGTTAAGCAAAAAGGTCCAGCTGCTGTTCAACCTGCTGTCGTTCCCACATCCTCTACCAGAAAGGGGAAACCATCTACTCGTTCCAGAGGTTGGAGTATTACTCCTGAGGTTCAACCTGTTGAAAGTACTGACACATCTATTTACAAGCCTCAGTTTGTTTCCTCCACTACTCAAGTTAAATGGTCCACCATGGTCAGGAGAGATCTTATTGTTCAACGGTCTGTTGATGAAAACCAGATGAATTCAGTTTGCGACATCCTGCCACTGCTGAGTGAAGTGGGCTTGCTGAAGACTGTCTCCTCTATTTGTCCGTATTCGAAGCTCCTCACTTATGAATTTTACTGTAATCTCAATGAAGAGATAGACAATTTGACTGGGCCACGACCAATGCAAATCTTCATTCGAGGTAAATGGTATGTCTTCGGCCCTGACATGATCAATGAATATTATGGCTTGACAGCGGTGCACGAAGAAGCAATCACGGACTGGGATTTAGTGGCCAAGACCCTAACAAGTGGACAGACTGATACATGGCCTACTGGTGACAAGGATTATCTACCTAGCTCTCAGCTCACCTCCAAATATGTCATATTGCATCGTCTTGCTCTTCACAACTGGCTTCCATCGGCTCATTTCCATACAGTTGGCAAGCAATTGGCAGGTCTCTTGTTTCGGATTGGAACAAAAATGACGTTTGATTTGGGGGCCTGGATTTATTATCATATCCTCACCTTGATCCATCCACGAGAGCAGAAGGTAAGGTTACCCTTCCCTAATTTGATTTTTGGAGTACTAACAACTCAGGGCCTTGAGCCAATGCCTAGTGAGGTGATAAGTCCGACTCTTCTCTATACTGTTGACCGTCGACTTTTGACTAGAGACCATATTTGTGATGTTATACCGGTGATTGCTCCCTCCAATTTTGAAGCTGGTACAGTGGCTGATGATTCACCGCATGCAAGGGATCTCCAACTTTCTATTCAGTTGAAGGCAAGGGTCTCTGAGCTTGAGACAATCCATGACATAATTGCGAAACAGCTGACAGGGGCTCGTACTGAATTGGCCACCGTTCTTCTTCGTTTAAGCTTGTCTGAATCTGCTACTGCTGAACCTGCGAAGTCTGACAGTGAGACTCCCTCCAATGTTTGACCATGCTTTGGCTATCATTGGCAAAAAGGGGGAGTATGAACTCAGGGGGAGTGTTTATGTGTTTTTGTGTACCTTCTGGCCCTGGCTGGGTGTTGATTGTGATGGCACCACCTATTTTGTTTGAAGAATGTTTATGACTGTTGTTTTGATCCAGCATGACTTGTATGCTGTGTTTGATTTCCGCTATGCTTTGTAATCAGATATTTGGTTTGGTTTTTATGCTAGCCTATCTTAGTTCTTTCAGTTTGTGTCTTTATACGTAGTCGAGTTGTTTTGCCAAATAATAGCCAAAGGGGGAGTTTGTTAGTGTTTTAATTGCTCAAAAACCCCAACCTATAAGAGCATCCACATCAGTTGGAAAGATTTAGGAGTTACTTGTGGGCCCAGCATCCACCTCATTCTCCATTATCTCACTCAATCACAAATAACTCTTCTCCACATCAGTTGGAGAGATTTAGGAGTTATTTGTGGACCCCACCATTTAACTCACTATATTTTAATTATTTCTTTAGCCATTTTATTTATAAATTTATATTTTATTTCTTTATCTATTTTACTCCAACATGCCTACGAAAATGTGCAAAATATGCAAATTGAAATTGTTAAAAAATAATTAAATAAAAATTAAAGTTAAAGCTAATTACTTAAAATAAATTAAAATACATAAAAATTAAAATACAAACCGATTAAATAAATTATTTCTCACTGGTTTGAGACCAGTGGGAAAATCAAACCAGTGATAAATCAGGCATATGTTAAATTGAATACATTAACACATACTAAAATTGAATACATTAACATTAAAATTGCAAGAATTTAAATTACAACATTTAAAATTAAAAATAAGGTTACAAATACGGAAATTGAACATTGGCATACTAAAAACAATAAAAATAAAAATCTATGACCGTTTTGCATTTTGCCGGCGTCGCCTAATATCGTTACAATATTCCAAGTGGTTCGCAAGTTGTTGTTCCGTCATGTTTGACGTATCTTTCATTAATATTTTATATTCTTTCATCTCCATTTTCCTTTCATCGCTTTCCAATTTCTTACCATCGCTTTCCTTTCTTATTTGTCGATATTTTTCCAACATTTCGTCTAGATTTTCAAATGGTCCATATTCACTTTCAACATGATCATCGTTGGAGTAGCGTTCTTTGGATTTTCGTTTCGCTGCTTTTCTCCCTATTGGTCTAGGGAAAACTTCTTCGCTTCCACTTGCCGTACCTGCTACACTCCCAGTTGAAGTTTGATTAGCGGGATATTGGGGTTGCCAACTTGGAAGATCTTTCACAATGGCCCAAACATGTTCGTAGCCAAATTTTTCTCGACCATGTTTTTGTTTATATTCTTCCAAGGCACGCACAATAACATCCGCATCGTTGGCACCACTTGGCCGCATTGTTAGTAACTTACAATAAATTGCATGAAAATTCCTGGTTATAGGACAAATATGACCCCAATGCGCCTTTAAATTTTGATCGATTCTCCTTGGCCCACCATTGGGATGATTGTTGTTGTAATATGTTTCAATGCGCTTCCAAAATTTTTCACCCTTTTCCTCATTGCCCTTATCCGGATCTTGAGAGATTGTGGTGTAAGCACGCGTCAACATTTTGTCATCCTCAACACTCCGTGCTTGTCGACGACTCCCCGAATTTTCCGGTTGTGGAGTAACTGTTACTACATTTTCACTTTGTGGCGAAAATTTAGTAAATTGCATATTACCCGGAAATTGACCACTTGGTATGTTGATGGGAAATTGAGAAGAACCCACAAATTGAGAAGACCCTGCAAATTGTGTGTTTTGAAATATAGATGGAAATGAAGAAATTTGAACATTACCCGGAAGTTGGGCATTTTGTGGAAATTGAGAGTTTTGTAAAAATTGAGAATTTTGGGAAGATGGTTGAGAAAAAGGAAAATTGGATTGTGAATTTGGATTGATAGAATTGTCTTTTTCCATTATGATAAAAGGAATTGAGTAGAAGTTGAGAGAATAATAATATAATATGAATGGATTGAGGTAGGATAAAATGTGAAAAACTTGTGAAAACTATTGGTGATTTATAGACACATATATATTACTTTTATTTTTTAAAAAAAAAAAAATTACCGTTGCCAGCAACGGCCGGAAATGTGGCCGTTGCTGGCAACGGATACAATTCTGGCCGTTGCTCGGCCAGCAACGGCCAGAATTGTATTCAATTGAGAGCTCAAGCGCCCATGCGGGCGCGTGTAGAACACGCGCCCGCTGGGAGGGCGATGAGACGCAACTGCGTCTCACTGCTTAAATTTTTTTTTTTTAAACATTCTGACATTAAACCCAATTTTACAGGCTGATTATTTTCCAAATAACTCAATCCCACATCAATATTATTTCTGATTTGAGAGATTTATTTCTGAAATAATTCACCATTCTCCCCTTAGTGTGGATGCTCTAATTGGCAATATTATTATGGCAAACTAAGATATGATTAGCTTAGTGTCGGTTTTGTTTTACAGAGGACTGATCAATCAGATACAACAACAGAGGGACTGACACTGAAGATCTGTTTTAGGAAGCTGTTCCCTTAAAGGTTGTACGTGGTTTAAAGAAGGCGGAATTGGAAAGAAGATCAGCGTATCTGTCTTGGAAAGGTATGGACCGAATCTTTAAGATTACATTCTTCAAATATTGTCCTACCATATACAATCAAAGATATCTATGGAGAGTGTTCTTATTATGGAACTATAAGTACTCTTATTCGACAAGAATTAGGGTTACGCTTTCAAGAAGGAAGAAACACTCCAAAACAGTTTTATGAGATCAGATCTTTGATTATCATGCCTCTTCTCAATACAACATGTTCATGGTGATAATGATGAAGAATTTGAGAAGAATTATTGTTGCTTAAACAAAAGGTGTAACACCCCGTGTTACGGCCTTCAATCTCGGATTAATTATTTAATTAATCTCGTTAATAATAATTAAATATGATTTAATTATGTTAGGTTTACCTTTAATTAATTAGTAAGGTCCACCATGAACCGTGGACCCTTGCCCGAATAAGAATCTTAAGCCTGTTAGGAATAAAGGAAGTAGGCATTTTACTATTCAGATTATGATTAGGATCCTCTTTAATTAATATGGTCTACTATGGACCATGGACCCTTATCCCTAAAACAAGCCCTAGCCCTATAAGGAATAGAATTAGTAAACCCATACCATTCAGGCCCTAACTAGGAGTCTTAAATATATAAATAGGGAACTTAGGAGGCACCTAGAATCCCCACCACAATAATCTCTCACCACCCAAAGAGTTCCAAGAATCCCCTTAGGAGAAATCAAGAAATCAAGAAAGCTTAAAGAAAGATCCTTCATAGCCAAGGAATTAATTAAGGCTAAGAGGTAACCCATGTCTCAACAAAACCTATTTTCATAGCTATGATTCCCCCTTAGGGTTTCCCCCATATTATTGTGAATGGCGAGATCTGTTGATTATTATTGATGCTTGACGTGATGATCCCATGAGGGATCTTGATAATCTTGATATTGGGAGATTCTTGATAATTATGGTGTTCTTGATGATTATATGGAATTCTTGATAATTATGTGTTGTTCTTGATAATTGTGTGATGTTCTTGATGCTTATGTGTTATCCTTACCGAATCTTGCAATTAGAAGGCGAATCGTATTCTTGTTGACATAAAAGTGATTAGAACCCTAGGTTGTATCGTATGTTATGATTCTTGGATTGTGGGGTGGGGAAATCGCATGTTTGGGTGTTGATTATGTTTAGAAAAGCATGATAGGTTATGTGCCGTTCGTTTCTCGTATTTGATCCGTCAATTGTCTACGTGTTGTCATTAATTACGTTGTAAAGTGTCTAAGCATGGTTTCGGGTTCCACAACGGTTCCCGGGGCGTATTGTGTTATAAGAGTCAGTGGGGGGTAGGTGGGGGGTAGGGGACCCGCCACCTACCCACGGCCGAGAACACCTTCCCGGCAGCGGGCAGCCGGCGGGCAGGCAGCTGCCCACCGGCGACCCGCTGCCCGGAACAGTAAAGTCCGGCGGGCAGCCGGCGGGTGGCCCCCCACCCACCGGCTACCCGCTGGAAATTATACCACCTTGGGACCCCGGCTTCCCCGTTTGATGTTCTCCCGTTCCCCGTGGTGTCCCAACGGACTCCGTTTATCATGCCTATGTCTAGTTTGATGTTTCGGGTACCGTTCGTAGGTTTATGAGTCTATTATATTGCATGCTAGTTGAATTGGTATCCCGTTGACCTAGGTGGAAGGAGTATGAACCCCTTAGGACTATTCTTAGTATGTGATGGATCACGCATAGGTTTTGTTATGCGCTTTCTCCCCCTTCCCAATGTGTAATATGGGTTGCATGTGCTTGCTATGTGTTATGTGTGTGTGTTACCCCAATCCGGTTGCGATCGGATTGGTTATCCTGAGCTGCGGTTCAGAAGCTGGCTGCGGTCAGATTGATACTCTTGGGCTGCGGTCCACCGTTTGGTTGCGATCAAACGTTTCTATACGAGCTGCGGTTCGTCCTTTTTCCTGGCTGCGGTCAGATGACATTCTCTTGGGCTGCGGTCCACTGTTTGGTTGCGATCAAACACTATGATGAGCTGCGGTTCATCGGTCGGTTGCGATCGACCCCTCCGTGTTGCGATACGGGGCAGGGTGCTGCGGGGCCGTGTCAGAGCTATATGCGCTGACCCTCATGTATGGGCATGCGATTGGTCCTATGGCGCCAACAAAGTGTGTTATGTGTGGTGACATGGACGAGTTGTGATTACGAGTGTCTTGGGGGATGTGACTATGGGATTTATATTGGGGATTGTTTATGTTGGGTTGTGATTATTGTTATGCTTTGCCTTATCTGCCTTATCTGTTGTGAACTGCATATGCTCGTTATAACTATTGCTTGTGTCTGGCCTTATCTGTCGAGTCATTCCCGGTTTTAAAGCTAGAGTTCGTAGGATATATCTTCATGCTCAAAATGGTTTTCGTATATCTATATATATCTCTATATGTATTGTATTTCAACGCGTTGGAGTGGGTTACCAGCATCTCTCGCTGAACAGATATATTTGGCTTTCAGGCACAGAAGATTAAGTCACTGGAGCGCGCTAGAACTCGTAGTGTAGAAATAGATAGTTTCCCTTTCGGCCTGCGTGCCATGTTTATACATTTATGCTTTTGAGGATATTAGGTAGTTAGCCTGTGTATCTGGGTTCTCTAGCCCAGGTGTGGCATAGCACCCCGAACACTTGTATTATATTCTGGGATTTAATAAGATTCTACCTTTATTATAAGCTTTAAAAAGTCTTAAAAATCTGGAGTGTTACAAAAGGACGCTACGATCACACAGTTGTGGGAACAACCGAGAAGAGCGTCATTGAAGTGGACTGCATCAGAGTTGGCTCTCCAAGTGAAGGGATTTTATTGGACTTCTGTATGCATGGCTCTCCATCTTCAACAATCCACTAAACCTGTGTAGACTGGGTACGTACCTTGTGTGGGACACTTGGGTGAGATTATTGTTTCTCTACCTTTGTACATTGGATTATGATTTAGTGGATTGGACGCCTATGTGATCGTCCCCCAGACGTAGATACACACAGTATCGAACTGGGTAAACATCTTGTGTGTTGCTTTGTGCTGTTATCTCTTTCTATAAACATCTCAATAATCTGCCTTATTGACTGACTTCATCATTGAATCAGTCAGTCCATTTCATCAGTTGGTTAGTCCAGTTAAATTGATTAAAAATGAGGAAATGCAAAATTACACACCATATGTATGAGTTTTTAGAAGAGTGTATTGGCAAGAGATTGCGATACATTCTAAGCCTTTCCACTTGCATTTCCCACCCTCAGATCCGAGAGGATAAGGCCCGGAATGAGATGTAGACAAAGTGTTTGTTGAAATACTCATAAGGAACGTGGTCACGGAACGGTGGTTCCACACCTATGAAAGACCTAGTAACCGAGCGGTGAACTGAGTTGGAAGTCATCTCGCTTGACTAGATCAACACTAGCCCAGATACACCTCACACGCACAAAGGAATGAGAATTCCAATCCACTATGCTTTCTATTTTATAGTTCCTTTTATTTCTTTTCTTATTCTCTTTGTTATGTTTTCCAAATACACTCCCACACTTACAACCTACACTCCTTGCGCCTAGTTTTCTCTTGTATTGCACTGTGACACGTGATTGCCTTGCACTCTTTTTACTCCGACTTGCCACCCTTGAGTACGACACTCGGGGTGGTTCTCACTCCCCGTTTTAACTCTTTCTACCTCTTCCCATACACGACCCGTGCACATCGAATCTTTTGATGACGTTATCCTAAAAGAGAATCGTAAACAAAAAGCGTCCGGTACACCCCCAAACTATTAT